GGTCGCCCGAGGCCGCGAGGGGGCGTCGGAGGGTCGCGGCCTGACGGTGCCGAGCGGAGAGCGGCGCGAAGGCGTCTGGCCCCCAGCGCTGCGCCGTCGGCAGATAACGTGCTCACGCCCCAGGCAGCCCCGTCCCTGGGCTGGGCTCGCCCCTTGCTCCCTCCGCTGGTCGCGCCGCAGACCCGGCTCAGCCGCCCGGTGTTTTAGGGGCTGCGTCCAGAGGACGGTTGGAATCTGATGATTCTCCCGCCTCGCCTAAGCCATTTAAAAAACCATTCCCGGTTCAACCTAACATCATCACCTACGAGTATTAAAATGCACAAATGAGTGTTTCTCTTTCCCTCGGGGAAAAATACTCAGAAATCAGCAAAACAGCCTGGAGACCGTGCACTGTGCGAGCTGCCCGAGCCCCGCGTGACGCCCAGGCGCGTGGTTACAGGGCGCTCTCGCTTCCCTTCCCCAGGTGAGATGCACCGGCTGCGGACGTCGGACGTGGCTCAGGCCACCTTAGCCAGCGTGGCGCCCGTGTTCACCGTGGTGAGTAGCGGCAGCTTGGCAGCTTACAGGAGGCACTTCCCACCCCTCTCGGCCTCCATGTCGGGGCCTGCTCAGCCGCTGGGACCGGTAAGGACTCCGGGCTGCGCTTTAGCAGGACCGCAGCTCAGAGCTTCCCGCTTGAAAACAGCCGCGCTCCGAGGTGCCGCAGGTTCAGCTCCAGGCCACCGCAGAAAGCTGCTGTTGCAACAGAGCGAGTCACAACCGTCTTGCTGGTGGAGGGCCTGGCCTGCACTTTGTTAAACAGGCAGGGTGTGAGGTGGTGGCGCTGAGCACAATCCAGCGGGGCCTGCCTGCGCGCAGGACTTCCGGCGAATCCGCTGGGTCCTTGACGGCTGGAGCCGGGGAGGGGTGGACCCTGCCCGCACCGTGCAGCATAGCACGCTGAAGCCTTTTGAAGGCAGCACAGTGTTGTGTTCAAGAGTGCATGCTTGGGAGGTCGTGATCTCGGCAACTTTCTCAGAAATGGTTCATGAGTAAAATAACAAAAAGGATGTGTATCCCACATATATTTAGAGAGAGGAACAAGGCCATTGGAGCAGCATGTTAACAAAGGGTGACTAGGTAAAAGTTACATGGGAGCTGGTTGTAATATTCTTGCAACTTTTTTGTAGGCCTTCAGTTAAAAAAAAAAAGTTTAAAAAATATGTTTGCTCTGAGCCAGAGTTCCTAAATTCAAATCTCAGCCCTGCCTCTTACTGTTGAGTGGACTTGGACAAATTGGAACATCATTGTGCCTTAGTTTTCTCATCTGTAAACTGGGGATAATAGTGCCAACTTTATAGGATTGTTGTAAGGTTTAAATTAGCCCACATGCCTAAAACCCTTAGAATAGTGCCTCCCACGTGGTAAGCATTCAGCATACATTAGGCATTGTCTCATTGTTACTTAGGCTTATTCGCATGGTAGGGTAAATAGTGTACTCATGGTACAGTACCATTTTGGAGAAAATAATATTTTGTTTTTATCATCTCTCTTCAGACAAAATTTGACAAAGAAGGAAATGTTACTTCTTTTGGTGAGTATCTTTAAGTTCCTTCTAAATCACCTTTTTAAGTCAGTGAATGAGTGAATCTGACAGGAATCACAAAAGGCAGTGCTTTGAGTAGAGCATCCTTTGCGTGCGTGGGTGCAGTTTTTTTAACTGTTCAGCGTTTATCCATCGTCCTCGGAACTGCGGTATGTGGATCGCCTGTGCTCTCCAGAGTTGTCCTGAGAGGGGCCACTCGAGCTCTGCCCATATGTGTAAGGCACAGAAACCTCCCTCCATCTCTTCTTCAGTCTCCCATTCATTCCTGGTCCTCAGAGCCATGTCCCCGGGGCCCTGGGTGGGGCGGAGTCACATACCACCACTGACACAGTGGGTAACAGAAGACGGGAGGGGCAGGTGCTCCTGGATGGCAGTCAGGTGGGGCTCTGCTGAGGGTTGCCTCCTGCACAGCTGTTTCTAAAGTGAAACTGAGCATTACCTCACTGTCTGACCTCAGAGGCAGGGCTCAGGTCCCCCACTCACTCCCACTTCCACAGCTCTCTTCCTGCTGTTGCTGAGATCCTCCTGGAATATTTCAGGTGTTTTTGGCTCAATAGCTCCTTCTAAGGTGGTTCTACGTAGAGCGCTGCCACACCTGTGGTTTGGTGCAACAGGGACAGATGACAGTTACCAGTATCATTGCTTGAGTTCAGTCATCCATTCTGCTTTCTCTTAGGAAATAGAGTTTTCAGGCAGAGAGTCTAATGTGAGAACTGACTTTTCTCATTTTGTATTAGTCCAGGAAGAAAGAAAATTGAACTTCCCTTTTCCCAGATTTAAAATACTGGAGATGATAACATAGCAGGAAGAGTAGGAAAAGTGGTTCTGTACAATTCATGTTGAAGAAAAGATGGCCCGTCTCCAGGGCTAGAACTCGATACTCTTAAGTTCTAGTGACGCATGGCTGTGGTCCCAAGGAACTTCCAAGTACAGAGAGAGTTCATGATTTGTGGATAAGAGACTTTGAGAGTTTGACTAGATTTAGCCTGAGTATGTTTTTGAGGTAAAACACGTATTAAAAAGACTCGTGTCAATTTTGTTTCTGGTAGTAATACAAAACCATCTTGGTGGTGGTGGGAGGACTGCTCTGATGTAAACACCTAAGCTCTTCGATTGATGGGTTTAGCCGCTTTTTCTATTGAAGACATTTCTTTTACAGAAAGAAAGAAAACTGACTTGTATCAAGAACTAGGTCTTCAAGCCAGAGACCTGAGGTTCCAGCACTTGATGAGCATCACCACCAGGAACAACAGGATCATCCTGAGAATGGAGGTGAGGGTGATCCCATCCCCGTCTCCACCATGGTCCTGGGGGTCACTGCTGGCCATCGTGGTCACACGCAGGTTAAAGCAGCTCTGAGACCCAGGATAGTTTATAACATGAGTGCTGTCAGGAGACCTCGCTGGCGTGGGTTCTGCACATGTGCTGTGCTGGGAAGTTCTGACGCTTCTCCTCTCGTTGTGGCAGTTAGTCTCACTTCTGTGTGGAGGGAAAGAGGCTTGATTCACAGTGACGTTTTCACTGTGCAGCTGTGTGTGATCACGGTGTAACTTTAGCTCCCAAGGGCACATCTGGTTATCCAGGCAGCCCAGGAACACACCTTAGTTTAAATTTTACATTTACAGGAAACTTTCTGAACTATATTGTCTTCCTCTGCCTGCTCAAGTACGCCTGATACTCCAACTTTCCCAGTTGGAGAGTAACGTGAACATGAGTTACTCTGCTGGGCGACGGTTCGGGACTCAGGCATACAGGAGGAGACTCAGGCCTCTGGTATTGGCCCTGCCCTGCAGTGGGCATGAGACTTGCTTTGTTCAAAAGTCTCTGATGGCAGGTGTTTCTCCATTGATCTAGAATTAATAAAAAGAAAGAAATGGAAGCAGGCTTCTCCCAGGTGGTTTCTCCAGGACTCAGTCTTCACTTTTGCTGCCAGCTTCTAGCACCTTAAAAACAGTATCTCTGATGGACAGGTAGAGAAATATATGATGAAGCAAAGTTAGCACCATTTTAATTGTATAAGTGGCTTATACATAGCTGTTCACTGTATAATTTTTCTGTATAAAAATTTTCATAATAAAATGTTGGAAAATGTAAAAAAAATAGTCTAATTTTTATATTGCTGACACAGTGGCCACAGGCTACTCTTCTGTGTTCCTCTCTGACAGAAAATGCCAGTCTTTCTCTTTAGGATACGCACGTGTACATATACATGTGCCTTCTTTTTCCCGCAGTATTTGAAAGCCGTGATAACTCCAGAGTGCCTCCTGATACTGGATTACCGTAACTTAAACCTGGAGCACTGGCTGTTCCGGGAGCTCCCCTCACAGCTCGCCGGGGAGGGTCAACTGGTCACCTACCCTCTGCCTTTTGAGTTCAGAGCAATAGAAGCGCTCCTGCAGTATAGGGTAAGCTCACTGGTCAGCTGCTTGAATTCTTTCTGGTTTAAAATGCTGTTGGGGAGGAAGGCAAGTCAGAGTTGTTTCCATGGCACTTTCCTTCTCCCCGGACATGACACCTCTCAGGGTCCTGCATGGAGAATGTACTTAATTCTTTAAACGTTAGGACCCAGTCAGAGACCTGAAGTCTCTAGCACAGGACATAGAGTCTCTGAGAGCCGTGTTCGACATTCAACAAAGCCCATTTCAGGTTGGCTGTCCTTCCACAATTTTAATAACTATGTCCTATTCACAAAGAACAAAAGTATCACTTAAAGATGTAAAGTCTGGGCTTTGACCACGGAGTGGCAGAGTTTCTTTGTTAATCCGTCCCCCACGCCTTTTGTCAGTGTCTGTAGGGAGACTCTCCTGAGGGTTAGCTCCCTCTCAGACATGAGCCTGGTAACAACATGGCGAGTGGCCCCCTTTCACCAGGAACAGAGCGCGTTTGGATCCCCTGGGAAGGCACTCCAGCAGGGCTGGGCTCTGAAAGTTGCTGCCGCCCCGGCTGTTCCTGGTTTCCATGTGTAATCACAGGGTTCGCTGACCCTGAGTTCTTACGCAGTCATGTTGCCATCTAGATCAGCAAGCTGCAGGGGAAGCTGAGCACGTTGGAGCCCCGGATCCTCGACACGCTAGAAGCGTTGGTGGACCCCAAACACTCCTCTGTGGACAGAAGCAAACTGCACATCTTGCTGCAAAATGGCAGAAGGTAAGCAGGTGCCCTACACGTGTGGTCTGAACCCAGTAGAATTCTGTGATTGTTGCCTGTCTAAAATGCCAGCGAGTCTTGCCGATGGGGTGACTTCCTGTCAGTGCCCCCAGAGTGGGAGCAGCCTGGGCGGACGCCGAATGAAAAGGGCCCAAAGTGAGGATGAGGGAAGAGCTGTGTGCAGCTGTCACGTGGCCGTGTTTGGGGGAACGGCCCTTAATCTGCAGGGTAGACAGAGAGCACTGTCTACACATCACTGCTCACCACGCACGTGGGGCGTCTACTTGCTGAGATGCTGGGGGCACTGTCCTCGTGGTGACTTGTGTACGTTCACGGTGCTGATCATTTCTGTGCACCTGCTCCCACAGTCTGTCCGAGTTGGAAACAGACATTAAGATGTTCAAGGAGTCGCTGCTGGAGATCCTGGACGAAGAGGAGCTGCTGGAGGAGCTGTGTCTCACCAAGTGGAGCGACCCCGAGGTCTTGTGAGTGACCTGTCCTATGTGTCCCTCAGGCAGGGCCTCTCTTCTCACCAGGCGGCTCCATAGCAAGCAGAGCACCTGTCCCTCTTGTATTTGCTCTCAAGCACTCAGTAGTTCTCTGTTGCCTTCGCCAGACCAGTATCAGAAACTAACATGGACGCTTTTATAATGCGCATGGTGGGAGCTGTCTGTACTGATTTTTAAATGTTACTCATATTCCCCTAAGGACGTGTTAGGATAAAAAGGGCTTTGCTACCAGAAGGTCTAGCAGCAGAAACATGGACACTGTCACTCCTGTTTGCTTGCGTAGCCGGCCGGTCTGTCTGCTGGGCTGACAGCTCAGGTGTTGTCCGGAGTTCCGCCTCCCTGAGCCTCGCGGTGGGTGCAGGTGCAGGGAGGGCAGAGAACTGTCGGCATCATTTGTCTGTGAAAGGACACATTCCCCTGGGGGTGGAAGTGCTCTCTGTGCTTTTAGTCTTTGGTTTTGTTTTACCTGGTTTGTACTGACTTGTACCAGCTTATCCACGTTCACGTCTGGATTCTGCTGTAACTGGTAGTGAGGAGGGACCATGAACACACACAGTGAGGCTCACTGGCCTGCGTAGGGCAGGACCCTGTGTCCTGGACGTACCTGTGTTGAAGGTCAGGTTCACAGCCTCAGACTGGCCTCATGACAGTAACAGAAAGGACGGGGCTAGTGTGCTGGGTGGTAGCTGAGTATCAGGCACTAACTCGGGAGTGTTGGGTGCAAACATGGCACACGCGGGCGTACTGGTTACGCGGCTCTTGTGATTGGAGTGAGCAGAGCAGCACGGGCATCGACCACGCGGAGGAGATGGAGCTGCTGCTGGAGAACTGCTACCGGCTGGCCGAGGACCTTTCCCACGCAGCCCGGGAGCTGCGTGCCCTGATCGACGACTCCCAGAGCGTCATCTTCATCAACCTGGACAGGTGGGTCTGCGGGATGGTCAGAGCTCTCTAGACGCTTCCCATGAAGTGGGATAGTGATTAAGGAAGGCCACCCTCGCCCTGTCCCCACTGCGTGGGTGTCCTGCTCTGGATGTAGGTTGAGCCCGAACACCTGTGGCTCCTCAGGGCACTCACTGTGTGTCACTGGCAGCCTGGCTGATCTCACTGTCTCCGCAGCCACCGCAACGTGATGATGCGGCTGAACCTGCAGCTGACCATGGGCACCTTCTCCCTCTCGCTCTTCGGACTAATTGGAGTTGCTTTTGGAATGAATTTGGAATCTTCCCTTGAAGAGGTGAGAATATATTATTTCAATAATCTAGGGGTTTATTTTTTAATGTTTTGAAGGTTGAAGGTTAACTTTTAATAGAGATCTTAAAAAGAGAGTCTTCACATGCACACTCCCCTAGTGAAATAAAACGTGTTCTCCGATTCCTTTAAACCAGACATGTTGCCAGATCCTGTTTTGCGCCTGTGTGACTGACGTGCACACTACTCTTTTCCAGGACCACAGAGTGTTCTGGCTGATCACTGGTATCATGTTCATGGGCAGTGGCCTGATCTGGAGGCGGCTGCTGTCCTTCCTCGGGCGACAGCTAGAGGCTCCTTTGCCTCCCATGGTATGAAGGGGATGGGGGGTCCCAGTGGGAGAGCAGAGTCACCACATGCAGACTGTGACCTGGGCAGTTAACTCCTCGAAGCTGCCTCAGTTCCCCATTTGTCAGTTAAGCCAGCACCACCTGCGTCATGGGGTCAGTGGGAGAGTTAAGTGAGATAGTATAATGTACTGGGAGCACAGTGCCAGCCCCTGAACACATGAGAACTGTTCACTGAGTGGGGCACGTGGTGGTGAGCACTGCATGCCCAGACAGGAAGTGCCTTGGGTACAGGTGTGTCCTGACTGAATGTAGGAAACAGCATTGTCACTAAGAAAGGGTAAAGGTCACCTCCCCTCCACGCGTAGGTGACACCACTGAGCCGCGACCCTAACAAGCTGACGTGGGTGGGCAGTCCTCCCAGCTGTGACGGGATCATTGTACCAGCACCTTTCCCTTCGAGACAGACACACTGACATGTCACTCCTGCTTCGTTCAGGTGGCTCCTTTACCCAGGAAGACCCTGCAGGCAGACAGACGTCTGGACGTGAAGCAGAGCCTCAGGCCGGACGGGCTGGGGTCCAGCAGGAGTGTCCTCACACCCCGGTGAGCGCGAGGCTCTCATGGTCGTCGCAGGGACACGCTGGTACCTTACAGACTCAGAGACTGAAACAGTCACCGAGTTAATCACGTCTGATGAGAGTCTGACGGCAGCGAGAGCACTGGGCTCAACCCCATTTCCGAATTCTGAGGAAACCAAAGGACTTGCTTTGTAAAAGGCCAAAATTCTGTTTCCTACAGCAGAGGGCTGTTTTTATAGATGAGACGTGGAGGGGTTGGTTTAACAGTAGACTGTGGTGTAGGTTTTATTTTCTCCACGTCGAAAAAAGCAGAGTGTCCAGCCAGCGCAGCCGGAAGTGGGACCGTCACGGGCTCAGCTGGCCATGGTTCTCAGGGACTCAGTTCTTGATCTTTGGTCTTCGTGATGTCCTTACTCAGGTGACCGACAAGCTAGCAGAATGCAGGTTAGCCTTAAGACAACCCTGGAAATGTGCACTCCGACTCTGTCTCCGGCGGAGCCTTTCTTATGTTTGCTCCTTTACAGAGGCAAATAAAAAGGAAGTGGTTGTTTATCACCAGCTTTCTGTGGATGCAGATTAATCAAGATCTCACTCTTTGGGCCCCCGAAACTGGCTTTCTTTGCTTGGCTATAATTATGCCTTTGGAAGTATAACTGAAGGAAAGAACTTCATTGTTACTGGTTTATAGTTTCTCTGGTTGATCCCCGATTGTTAGAGGTGACATATCCCCCCTGAAGGAAACCGTGTATGTCCCCAACCCCCTCACCTCCAGGCTGGCAGGAGGGCAGGAAACTGGGCCTGCCATCCCTTTTGTTTCCACACCAGAGCTTTGGGGTCAGGACAGGTGGTTTACAGCTGTAGGTCCCAGAGCTGCCGTCCTCCTTGGTGTCCTGTGTACCTCTCCGTGTTTCTGGAGGTTAAAGGCCACTGTCCTTGCCCGTGAGGTCGCGGGACAGGGAGCCCCAGAGCAGCCCTGCATGGCAGCTGTGGGCGGTTGTCACAAAGGCCTGAGTGTGCCCCCGGTGCTGTGGGCCTGGACTCCGGAGGAGGGTGTCAGAGGCGGCGGCCCAGGGCCATGTAGGTGGTTTGTGATAGGAATAAAAACGCTCTTCCCCCAGCTCAGGTGAAAGAAAGGTGACGGTTTCCACACACTGCGGTGGCTGTGAGCAGCCACGAGAGGGAAGCTGGGGGCCTTATTATAGAACAACTAATAAGTATAAGTAATAAATATAGTAAATATAAGTGATAAATGTAATTAATAAGTATCACCTGGGACTAAGAATTGGCCGCCAAGAGTGGAATTTGTTTTGACTGTGATCAGGCACAGAGTTCTTTTCGTCTTTTTTTGTGGCTTTGGGTTAAGTGATTGTTTTTGATGAGCCATCTTGTCAATAAAAGAAACGAGTGCACCTACCTCACAGGTCTGAGGGGGCTGGTTTCAGAGTCAGCCAGCTCTGCCTGGAGACAGCAGGATGCTCCTTACATTAGATTCTCTTAAACAATAATAGCAGAGCCTGTGCCAAAAAGGTACAGAGTTCAGCAGCTTGAAATCCTGAATTAAAATAGACTGAGCACAAATGATTCTTTGAAAATAGGTGATAGAATAACAAATGCCGGGTTCCATGAGGCAGGGAGCCATCGTGCGCCGTTCAACATGCACATGTGCCAGGCCCGACAGACCGGCTGTCTCCAGAGGCAGGCCTCTGAGAAGGTGCCCCACGCTGGGGTGCAGCTAGCTCTGCTCTGCTCCGACGCGCAGACCGCGACACCACCCCACGGCATCACAGAGGCTCCAATGCGCAGACCGCGACACCACCCCACGGCATCACAGAGGCTCTGATGCACAGACCGCGACACCACCCCACGGAATCACTGAGAGGCTCCGATGCGCAGACCGCGACACCACCCCACGGAATCGCTGAGGCTCTGATGCGCAGACCGCGACACCACCCCACGGCATCACTGAGAGGCTCCGATGCGCAGACCACGACACCACCCCATGGAATCACTGAGGCTCTGATGCGCAGACCGCGACACCACCCCACGGAATCGCTGAGGCTCCGATGCGCAGACCACGACACCACCCCACGGCATCACAGAGGCTCCGATGCGCAGACCGCGACACCACCCCACGGAATCACTGAGGCTGTTGGGTTTGTGAGTTATTTAGAGTTGTGATAGCTTTGTTCTGGGAGTTACAATATTTAACTCACACTTTNACTGAGGCTGTTGGGTTTGTGAGTTATTCAGAGTTGTGATAGCTTTGTTCTGGGAGTTACAATATTTAACTCACACTTTAAGATTCACCTGAGGAACACCTGTGGAGTTGGTCTAGTGGATGGAGCCTGGAACAGGGAACTCAGACCCGAGTTCCCCCGAACTCTGTTCACGTCATAGCTGGTCTGTTAGGCACCAAACAATTCCAATTGTTTAGCCTTAAAGAAAGTTGTTACATAGACAAAAATTGCAAATATATGTAAATCAAAAACTGCAAGTATATATAAATGTGTCCTGATATCTTGAAATAAAGGTAATTTTGAGTTAAATTTATAAGTTCAGGTTTGTGTTTATGAGAGACACTTTAGACGATATTTCCATTCAGAACCAGTGATGGGAACTATAGTTAACACTTGGCGGAATGAAACTTTAATCCAGGACATTAGACTGTCGTGTTAGTTTTCTGTGCGCCCAGTGTTTACATATTTGTCATGAGTTAACTTTTAACAGCAGGAGTACAATTTACATCATTTCGAATATGCGGTTAGTGTGGTGAATATAAAATCCTATAAATCCTACATGAATAACTTGCTTCCAGCTTCTTTTTAAAAAAAATCCTCACCCAAGGACATACTATACTGATTTTGGGGG